TTAGCAACACACTAGGGAGTATTTCAGAAGCTTCTGAGATGGGTTGTTCTGCATATAGACTACTCATATCATATATTCAGGCAGAAATACAATGTAAGGTGAAAGGGAGTTGCTTACTTTGGAACAAATTTTTAGAAAGACAAGAATAAAATCAATATGCCAGCTGTTTTCTTTTTATTAATTATTTTAAGTATGAAAATATTAATAACTATGAATTTTAAACGTATGTACATTCACTGCTTCTCTCTTTTTCAGAGTGCATATACGTATATATGTGTTGGTATAGATGAACATATGACATCTGTGATAATCATGTAACTAGCACCTATATATCTGGTTAATGAGGTTACTTACTCTCACATCTTAAGCATGGACGATTACATAAGCATACTCTCTACACATCACATACCACTATATAGGGTGGGACAAAGGCACCAACTCCGTGGGTGCTCTGGGGCTCAAGCTCCCACCGAAAAAACATAGGGCTCGCTCAGCACCCGAAGGGCCGGATTAATCTTTAGTGGGTCCCGCCCCCTGCTCCACCTGTGCTCCACCCTAAAGTCCCGCCTCTTTCCCCATGGCCCCAGCCCCACTGAGCCTCTTTCCCTCTCGCACGGAGGGGAAGGGGCAGAGAGGAGCACCCACCAGCAAAAACAAAAGTCAGCACCTGTGGGCTAGGAGAAGACAAACATACTGCACTGCACATGAGACTGAAATAGTACAATATATGGAATATAGTAGTAAAGTACTAAACATGGCGATACTCAACATCTGAAGTGAGATTCTGTGTTGTCCCTCTTAAGAGGAGTTGCATAGAACTTGCAGCCCAGGGACGAGGACTAAAGTGGCTTTAAACTACCTATGTGCCCTCCTGATCCTGTTTAGGAAATTGAAAGACCCTAACTTTGATAGCCCTGAGGGCCAGTCTAAGTTACATCAGCTTCTAGGGTCTGCTGTATGAGCCATAGCAATGCCCAGAATCCCCACAGCATTGTCTCATACAGCCATGCCCCTACTACCACAGGCATGACTTGTATGTCAGTGGTTCTCAAATTTAGCAACCCAAGGACCCCCATTTTAATTTAAGATTTTTCGGGGCCCCCCAAGCCTCGCTGCTCAGTCCCAGGCCCTGCCCCCACCCCACCCCTTCCCCCCCAAGTCTCACTCCTGCCCCCCCTAAGCCCCACCCCCGCCCCACCTCTTCCCGTCCTCTGCTCACTCCATCCCCCTCCCTCCGTTGCTCCATCTGCCCCACCCTCACTCACTTTCACCAGGCCGGGGAAGGGGGTTGGGAGCAGGAGGGAGTGCAGACTCTGGGAGAGAGTTTGGGTGTGGGAAGGGGTGCAGGCTCTGGTAGGGTGTTTGGGTGCGGGAAGGGGTGAGGGGTGCGGGCTCCAGCCGGGCGGCGCTTACCTTGGTCGGCTCCCGAAAGCGACTGGCTCATCTTTCTGGCAGCAGCTCCTAGGCGGGGGAGCCAGGGAGTCTCCGTGCACTGCCCCTGCCCAAAAGCACTGCCCTCACAGCTCCCACTGGCCACAGTTCCCGGCCAATGGGAGCTGCGGAGCCAGCGCTCGGGGAGGGGGCAGCACGCGGAGACTCCCTGCCCCCTGTTTCCCCCAGGGGCCGCAGGGATGTGCCATCTGCTTCTGGGAGCAGCACGGAGCCAGGGCAGGGCAGGCAGGGAGCCTGCCTAAGCCCCGCTGTGCAGCCGGACTGGGATCAAAGAGCCAAAAAGTAAAATATGAGCAATATATCTAGTGAAGCAATGTGACTAAATTAAACACAAGCATAGGACAAGTGCAGAGTCCTGCATTTAGGACGGAAGAATCCCATGCACTGCTACAGGCTGGGGATCGACTGGCTAAACAGCAGTTCTGCAGAAAAGGACCTGGGGATTAGAGTGGACTAGAAGCTGGATATGAGTTAACAGTGTGCCCTTGTTGCCAAGATGGCTAATGGTATATTGGGCTGCATTAGTAGAAACATTGCCAGCAGATCGAGGGAAGAGATTATTCCCCTCTATTCCCACTGTTGAGGCCACACCTGGAGTATTGCGTCCAGTTTTGGGCCACCCACTACAGAAAGGATGTGGACAAATTGGAGAGAGTCCAGCAGAAGGCAACAAAAATGATTAAGGGGCTGGGGCACATGACTTATGAGGACAGGCTGAGGGAATTGGGCTTATTTAGTCTGCAGAAGAGAAGGACGAGGGGGGATTTGATAGCAGCCTTCAACTACCAGAAGGGGGGCTCCAAAAAGGATGGAGCTAGGCTGTTCTCAGTGGTGGCAGATGACTGAACAAGGAGCAATGGTCATAAGTTGCAGTGGGGGAGGTTTAGGTTGGATATTAGGAAAAACTATTTCACTAGAAGGGTGGTGAAGCACTGGAATGGGTTACCTAGGGAAGTGGTGGAATCTCCATCCTTAGAGGTTTTTAAGGCCCGGCTTGACAAAGCTCTGGCTGGGATGATTTAGTTGGGGTAGGTCCTGCTTTGAGCAGGGGGTTGGACTAGATGACCTCCTGAGGTCTCTTTCAACCTTAATCTTCTATGATTCTATGATAAGGGTGCTTCATTGTTTGTCTAAGGAAGAATGATATTCTGTACATGAACTGAAAGGGAGAGAATAAGGAGCATGTTTTAAGCTTATCTGAAGAAATACGGCAAGTTTATCTATCCCCAGTAATTTAGCTTATTATTCTTTGAACGCTGGCTGTAATACTGCTGTATGTAAATATGTAAACCTTTCCCATAACCCAATCTGCCACACCCGGATTCTCTTGCAAGGCAACCTATTCATGATATATACTGCTCTGCCCAGTAGAAATAGAAGAAAAAAACAAAAACAAAATAGAGATCTACCTATGGATCTCCATCACAGGAACATTTCACTCTAGGCAAATAATACATATGTATACACTCTTCCGCTATGCAAAAGTGCCAACTACAGCAGAATACCTTTGTAGCTCATCCCTAACAATATTGACTTACATTTTTACCGTGCATTCCATGGGAAAAATCCCAAAGTGCTTTAAAAATCACTGAAGTTCTGTCATCTCCTTAGGGTAATGTAGTAATACTCAGCAATACTACAGAACAATTCGGGAAGGTAAGTGAAGCATGCCTTATTCATCTGAACCTGGGGGAATATTTAGGTAAGCAAGACATAATAACCCAAATATGAACTTGGCCAGGACATCTGGGTTAAAGGCCTTAGTCTGTAAAAAGCACTACGGAACCTTTAATGACTCCAGGCAGTCAGGACTTTGGCTTTATATCTCATCTAAAAGTGGGCACTTTCAACAAAACAGTACTCAGGGCTGTTAGCTCAGTATTGATTCAGAGGGAAGATGGCCACCTACTGAATACCAATACAACTTCTTGCAGTGCATGGATTTTCACTGAGGTGCTGGCCAGATCTGACATTGTTTAGTTTATGGAAATTGAAGAGATCACAGACTAATATTGTATGGCTACAGGCAACTCAAGCTTTATTAGCAATGAAAAGAAGCTTTGAAGTGTCACACTACCGTTAAATTAGGACAGAATGTTGTTTTACTGTATATGCACTAGTACTTTTAATAGTCAAGGTTGCTCAGAGCACTATACAGCATTCTAGCGGCAATGTAGAACACTAAGGATGGAATGCTGGCCCCACTGAAGTCAATGGGGCTTGGATTTCACTCAGAGTGATGAACTGTAATAAGCTTTGCACACGTTCACGTGGGAAGGTGCATGCAGAGGTTAAAGGGGCTAAAAGGAAAGGAAGAGCGCTCCCACTCCTCTCCCAGGCTGGGGAAAGCAGTTTTTCTCCACAACTTCTTTTCCAACTTAGCTGGTGCAGTAGTTGGTTGTTTCAATCTACTATAACCAGCGGGTGCAAGGATTACCTCTCCCTGCAACCCAGTACACCTCTGCAAGGAATAATCCTAGTTCCACCCCTAGTCCAGGCTAGTTCTGGCAGTGGCACCAACGTCCCAAAAGAGGGTGGAGAGGAGTATGTAGGGGAGGGCACACTGCCATTTTTTATTTTTTCAAAAGGTATAGCTGGGGCAAACCTGGTCTGCATTCCTCAGTGACATCATGCCTGAGTCTAGTAATACACCTCTGGGAGTCTCAGCTGTTTCAAAGCACCTCTGTGCTGCTGTCTATTGCAACCAGCAGCTTAAAGCCAAAATCTGGCCATAAATATGTCATCAAACAGAACAGCCAATAGTCTTAGCTATAGTTTTTACATAACCTTTGACCTAAAGGTGTTTGGCTGAGAGCAGGAGTGTTCCCAAGGATATCAAGTATCTTAAAGTCTGACCAGCTCCAGTTCTTACACTTCTCTTTACTCTTTGACTGCAGATGTAGTCTTGAATTTAAAACAGATGAGATTCCATTACCTTATGTTGTAAACAAATCATTATTGAATCAGCATTGTATTATTTAATCTAATTATGTAACTATGCAAACAATAATAAAGCACTAAAATACTATATAAAGTTTGGAACTTTTAAACAGAACCACAAGCCTTCCATGTGGCATAATCATCATCACACAGAAAAATCCTTCTATGATGGATTACCAAAAAACATATTGGAAAATATAACAGTAATATATCAGAGAGAAAAAATCCTGAAGCTTGAAGATGTTTTCCATTACAAATTAAATACACTTCTAGGGTTATTTTAAAAAAACCCAACAATATCAAACCTAGTTCATTAGTGAAATAGGGAAGAGATTATTAATCTCCAAAGTGTTATATTGAACTTGCTGCAAAATTGAACAGGACTCTGAAGACTTGGAAATACCCTATGGCAATTATTGATCAAGAGTGAGGAGAGTGCTACAGACAGTGCTTATGCTCCATACCGGAGGTGGGGGGGCGGGGGTAGGGAGAAAAGAAAGGGGGCAGCAATTAAAGTGTGTTAAAAACACGCACATCCTCTGGGAAACTAAATGCAGGAATTGTTACAGGACTGTATATTAGGTGAGATTATCTACGGGAAAATATACCTGGCTAGATTGAATGCATCATCAATCAAACCTGCTCGATTACTGACAGAGATAACCTGTGAGGAGAAAACCAGAAAAACGGAACCATTTAGGATGATAAAAGCAGTGCCACAACTCGTACAGCTCACACATCAAAGCAGATCCTAGACATGAAACTAGGAGCTTACCTCATGGTTCCTCATTAGTTGGTCAATTAACAACCTCCAATTCCTTATGTCATAGTTAACCCGAAAATAGCCAGTTTGATTGATGTTCCCCAGCAACCAGCTTGTCTCGTCTAAAGCAGCAATTCTGTGATGTTCTGGAACCAAAGAACAATGTAAGGAAAAGATTATATTTTTTTTAATTTGAAAAGGATTTAACATTGTAAAAGAACATGTTTTACTTATCTTTCCTTAAAAGGAATACTTGTGGGAGTAAAATGATTATTTCAATTTACATAATCTTCATAAATCACTTGTAAAATATTTAAAAAAAATAGATGAACACTAATGACACAGTTAATTTTGTGGGCTAATTATAATTTTCAACATGTGTTCTACCTCAAGTAATATAAAGGAGCAACCCAGTTTGGAACCTAATCTTCCAACTCAACCTGCACCCATGAGGACGCAGTTACAGAATCGGGACCTTGAAGAGGCATTTTTTTTTCAAAATATCCTTAATTAAATGCCTGGGAAATCAATTGCTACTTCAAGACTTGGGGCTTGATTCCAATCTCCCTACCTAAGTTTTACACCAGTGCAACTCTGTTGATTTAAATGGAGTTATTTCTGGTTTACACCAGTGAAAGTCAGATCAGAATCAAGCCTTTGGTTTATAGGTAATCCCTAAATAGTTTTGTGCATAATCAATGGGAGCAGGAGCAGGTCCTTTAGTCTCAGGTTTCTAACTGAAAGTGTTTTCAGCAGTTTGGTTTGTAGCCACTAGTCACTGAAAAGATCTTTTCATTTTAACCAGTTAATCTTACACTGTATGTGTTTTTATTTTCATTCCTTTTTAAACTTTCAGCAACAATTTAGGCCTAATCCCATGAACACTTTTGCAAGTACTTAACATTGTTTTCAAGGTGACTACTCATGTGCTTGAAGCATGCACATAAACATCTGCAGGACAAACACATTCCACATTCTAAATTTCTTTAACTTCAGTGAAGATTGCAAGGAATGCAGGATCAAGCCCCAAGTGTCTCATAAAGAATACTTTAATTTAGTAAATTATTTTAATTCAACTAATTATTTACTTTAAACTAGGATTTGCTCAAAAATCAAAAGGTGGGCTTTTAAAAATTATCGCCACACAAAGCACTGTAAGGTAATTTAGCTTGTACGCGCTTGATCAAAGCTACAGCCTAATATTTGTTTTCCTTATCATCTTTTTTAAAAAGAAAACTACATGCAAACTTCTCTTGGACATAGTTCCAATGGGAAACTGATCAGTGTGCTTGAACTATATAAAACTAATGAAATTATGAAATGAAGTGCAAATAAATATGGTTTGATAATTCACATATGCCATCTAATACTAGATACATTGACATACTAGACTACCTGGTTTTCACGTATGGCATTTTTTGTAAAAAGTAATTAGTGAGAAAGTAAAAAGAGATTAAAACTATGGGTGTAGGGTACATGTGACACCTCCATCTTAACTATAATTCCAGTAGCACATGATAAGATATATGACAATAATCAAAATGTTAAGGTGCAGCAATACAGACCACAAAAACCCTGATATTACAAACACAGAGCACATATGCAACTTTATGTATGTTTGCAGTTCTGTTATGCATATGAGTTCAGTTAAATGTTTGCAGGACCAAAGCCTCCATAAATTATTACAACACAGTTCTGTCACTGATAAAGTATTTCTAATATTAACATTTTTTAAAGAACACTTTTTTGGAAGTTGCAAAAGACTTATCCAATTCCCTACTTGTTATTTCTCTGCTAAGGCTTATCTAAACTTGCACCAGTTTAAACAAACTAGTTTAATTAAAGCAGTTTATATAAACTGGTGAAAACTCCTATGAGGGCACAAGTATATTGGTTTAAAACTGTTTACATCAGTTTGGCTTGCCCTGCAAATTTATGAGGGCAACCACGCCACTATAAGCCAGGTTTAAATTGATTTAAGAGTTTCAACGCCCAAAGTTTCACCAATTTAACTAGACTGGCTTAAAAAAATCACACTTTTAGTTAAACCGATTCAATGGTATGTGTAAATAGACTAACTCCTTCTTAATTATACAGTAATATAGGGAGGGACAAATGTGGCAGCTTTGGACAGGAGTAAAGGACACATTAACTCCTTACTCTTGTATGTTTCAGCTCCTCATTGGCCATACCTATCCTTATTAATACAACCATGGCTGACATAGAAGAGGATGCAGAGGGACTCTGTATCCAGAGTCAAGACACATAAAGATACCTGGCATAACAGGAAACTGATTGAAATAAGATCTCCACGATTAAGATATGATCTGAAAATTATGCTCCTCTCCCTGCAAAGACGCTACCAGGATTGCTGCAAGGAGGAGAGGTTATGGGTATGATTCAGGGTTACAGATGGTGGTGTTCTCTCCCACATGTCAACTGATGGGGTAGAACAGTGGTGGGAGGGCTGTTTGTCTGCAATGGGCCCATCCATGTGAGTTATAGCTTTGTTTTGTACTTCACAGGTGACATAAGCCAGAATTAAGCTCATCATGCTTTTTAGTAAGTGAAAATTCAATATGGTTATTTTTACTGGTTATATTTGTTTCTGTGTATGAGTTTTCTATTAGTAATTGTGCTTTAATTGCTCCAATATTTGAAAATAATGACTCGGAAATAGTTAATCCATACCATTAAATTAAATCTAAAACACCTTCCAAATTGGCAAATGATCTAAAATTAGTTATGAACCAATCTTGTCCAATAACCTGCTATAACTAAGTGCAGACTATCTAGGTAAGGTAGGTGTCTGATAAAATAAAGGGAACAAATATATACACTCCCTTCTGATAAAAGGAGTTTAACTTGTGGCTTTTTGTCACAAACTATGTAAGCTATTTATGCCACATGACGTGATATAGAATGATACCTGCCAGTCCAAGCTGACAACCTCAAAATACCTTCCTCCATAAATATCAGTTGTAGGATGTCATATAGAGATCGCTCTGATACAGAACAGCAGTATTTTTTCAAAAACTGAAAATATTATCCCTGCTTTCAGTCAGTTTTAACTACAATCATAACCTCTTTTTTTTTCATAAGGCCATTGATATTTGACCTTTTCAAGCAAAAGGGGGCAGGAATCTTTCCATGCCATCCCAGCTCAAACAAGCAAGTGGTTATTGTAAAGGGTTGTCTGATGCATGTACTTCACATAATTCTATATAATTTACTGGAATTTGATGTCTGAGACTGTGTATATTCTCATGAATTTATATACAAGAAGTTTTATTTTCCCCTCATGATTTTCTGGTGGCTATGTGCAATTGAAAACCACTATACACATAGGCGATATCCCCCCACTTATCAAAAACATATTTATTAGACTCTCACAGTAGCAACACTACAGTTCAGGAGAAGGTGGCATCCCCTTCTAAACACTATATTCAGTCATTCATAAATTTCTCAAAAGATATTCCTTCAGGGCAGAAATCGCTCATTACTGATTGGAAAGATTGATTTTTAAGTTCAGACTAAACTATATAGTTATTTTTGAGTTTTAGGGAAATAAAAAAATGCATCCTACTTTTTTTCCCTTTACGAATATTGTTCAGTAGATATTTTCACTTGGATCGGTCAAAAAATATTTTTGCTTTGAAACTTTAAATTTGGCACATACATACTGGAGTCTTGTGAAGAATTGGTTAATTCAGGCAGAGTGAAGAGGTCTTAAAATTGGGGTTAATTACATTTGTACTCACTGTATACCACTCTTGCAGTGAAAAGGGACCTTAAAGTGGCCTTAGGCCTGGTCTACACTACAATTTTAGGTCGAATTTAGCAGCGTTACCTCGATTTAAGCCTGGACCCGTCCATACGACGAAGCCCTTTTTTTCTACTTAAAGGGTTCTTTAAATCGATTTCTTTACTTCACTTCCGATGAGGGGATTAGCGCTGAAATTGGCCTTGCCGGGTTGAATTTGGGGTAGTGTGGACGCAATTCGATGGTATTGGCCTCCGGGAGCTATCCCAGAGTGCTCCATTGTGACCGCTCTGGACAGCGCTCTCAACTCAGATGCACTGGCCAGGTAGACAGGAAAAGGCCTGTGAACTATTGAATCTCATTTCCTGTTTGGCCAGCGTGGCAAGGTGCAGGTGAGTGCAGATCTCATCAGCAAAGGTGACCATGATGGAGTCCCAGGATCGCAAAAGAGCTCCAGCATGGACCGAACGGGAGGTATGGGATCTGCTCGCCATATGGGGAGACGAATCCATGCTAGCTGAACTCCGTTGCAGTAAACGAAATGCCAAAACATTAGAAAAAGTCTCAAAGGGCATGAAGGACAGAGGCCATAACAGGGACGCACAGCAGTGCCGGGTGAAAATTAAGGAGCTAAGGCAAGCCTACCACAAAACCAGGCAAACGGAAGGTCCAGGGCAGAGTCGCAGACATACTGCTTCTACGCTGAGCTGCATGCCATGCTAGGGGGTGCAGCCACCACTACCCCAACCCTGTGCTTTGACTCCGTCAATGGAGAATCACGCAACACGGAAGCGGGTTTTGGGGACGAGGAAGATGATGATGAAGAGATTGAAGATAGCTCACAGCAAGGAAGTGGAGAAACCGGTTTCCCCAACAGCCAGGATACGTTTTTCACCCTGGACCTGGAGCCAGTAACCCCCGAACCCACCCAAGGCGTGCTCCCGGACCCTGAGGGCGGACAAGGGACCTCTGTTGAGTGTACCTTTGTAAATATTAGACATGGTTTAAAAGAAAGCATGTTTAATGATTAATTTGCCCTGGCATTCGCGGCCAGTTCAGCTACTGGAAAAGTCTGTTAACGTGTATGGGGATGGAGCAGAAATCCTCCAGGGACATCTCCAGAAAGCTCTTCTGGATGTACTCCCAAAGCCCTTGCAAAAGGTTTCTGGGGAGGGCTGCCTTATTCCGTCCACCATGGTAGGACACTTTACCACACCAGGCCAGTAGCACGTAGTCTGGAATCATTGCATAACAAAGAATGGCAGCGTATGGTCCCGGTGTTTGCTGGCATTCAGACAACATCCATTCCTTATCTCTCTGTGTTATCCTCAGGAGAGTGATATCATTCATGGTCACCTGGTTGAAATAGGGTGCTTTTATTAA